CATATTTGAGCAATATTTAAAATATAGATACATATAGATGCAGACATCAATAAAGGTGGAGAGGGAAGGAAGTCCGAATAGTAAGAAGGGGTGGGCACCATGGGACACTGGAGAAAGTGTATCCCTTGAAGAGTCCCATTTAGCTCCAGGAAGGATGGCTCCAGTGTGATCATATTTGGTTTTCCAAGGAAAGCTGAAAACTTAGTTTTATTTTTATATGAAATCACATGTTGATGTCTATTTCCAGTATTTGAAAGAATACTATGTTGGTCAAATAATGTGGGTCAATTACATATTGGACTTTACTCGGCTTCCTCTGCTCATCTGAGGAGAATCATCATCACACATCACATGGAGACTGAGCCTCCACTTACATTTTTAAATGCAAAAGCCATTTGACCTTGAGTCTGTGGATTTTTTCCTCCTTAGACTTCAGTTTATCTTCTATTTAAGAAGGCTTTGAGGGACTGGAAAAATGGCTGGTCTTCTGGAGGACCTCGGTTTGATTCCTACCACCCACATACCAGCTCCTAACTGTCTATAACTCAGGGTATAAGATGGCTCGGATTGAGTTGACACATGAATGAATAAAATCTACTTTTGATCTTAGCTAAAATGCTGTGAGGCAATTGAATGCACACTTAGTAGCAAGCATTTTCCTTCCCACCAGCAGGGTTAATTCCATACAAACAATTAAGATCTTTGATCCCATGAACTACCAGGGTCCTAGATAAAAATGACAGTTGTCCACAGGGGACAAGCAAATTAATTTTGCATGGTCCCTGCTGAGATCAGATTTCTTATTGAATTATTTGTATATACTGTTTAGATTCATCCAGTAATTTCCTTCAATAAACAATGAATAAGGCATATGATTTTTTAAAACAGTTTAAACTCCAGGAAGAACAGCTATACAAGGAGTTAATGGAGTGCTATGGAGCATACACTAAGAAGACCACTTCCCTGCTATCCTTGGTGATACTTGGGTTGGTGTTTCAAAATTGATCTGTACAACCACCTCAAAGTGCAGGTCATTAGACTACTGGCAGGAATCAGAAAGCCTTCAAATCACAGGGAGAGCCCAGATACAGTGTATGGAAGTATTCCTCTGAAGCCTGACTGTCAAACGCAGTATTAAGGAGCTAGGACCTTCCACGTAAGAAAAAACAGTTGATCTTATTTTCTAAAGAGAATATGAGGCACTCACCCTTCACCAGCACCTTTCTTGCAAGTCACAGATCTCTACGGCTAGCTTATATTATTAAGTTATTTCTTCATTTAAAACTCACTACAGGGGATAAGGAGGTGGTTTAGTTGGTAAAGCACACACTGTGCAAGCATGAAGACCCAAGCTCAATCCCCAGCATCCGTGTGAAAGCCAGGTTTGGTCTATATGCATTTGCAATCCTAATGCGGGGTGGCTGAGACAGGAAGATTCCTGAGATCTCACCAACCAGACAGTTGAGCAGAATTGGTGATCTCCTCCTCCAGCTGAGAGACCTTGTCTCAAAAATGAATGTATGAGGAGCAGTCCTCAAGTAGACCTCTGGACTCCACAATGTGCACATGTACTCCTCACACACATGTCTCCACACACAAGTCAAATCAACTCCATGTCTCTCACTTAAAATAAGCAGCATATGCCTTGTAGGGGCAGACAAGAGTCCTCATGACCTTTTACCCACCTTGCTTTCTCACTCACTCATGATTTGTCTTGCTTGGCTCTTCTGATGCCAGTTTTATAGGCTTTATGTTTGGTTCTCAAATATTTAGACCTTTCCCTGCCTCAGGACTTTTGCTCTTGCCATTTCTACCCCATGCCTGCCCCAGAGATCCCTTTCCCCAAACCTTCTCCTTCTCATCTCCTTATCTCCCATACTTTCTGCATCTTCGGGGTGGTCCTCTTGAACCCCCACAAACTGGCACACCCATTTCTCAGTTAGTCTTTATTCTCACAAGTTAAAACAATTTCTACATTCATCATGACCTAGAAATATATTATTGATTCACATGTATATTGGCTTATAACTGTTCTTTCCCAATGAAAAACACACTTTACTGGAGAGAAAGATGTATTTCCCTCCAAGGGTTAGCCAAAGGCCTAATACTTAACCACTGCATGGCTGCGTGGGTGTTCTGGGCCTTAGCTTTAGCAGCAGTCAAATGGAGCTATAGATGAAGGGTAGTATTCCCCACTTAGGAAAGTGTGGAAAAGTCAGTAGAGTCATGAAGGAAGGCCTTACCCTTTGACCAAATAGCTCTTTCCCAGTGCTGAGACTAAATAACCAGGGATCACTTGTCATTATCACTTGAGTAATGTTTCATTATTTAAAATCTCCTAAAATATACCACAATGTTTATTGTAGAAATATGTGATGCATAATATATGTGCTTCATTTTTTTGTTCATATGAGCCCCTATCTCTTTAAATAGTCAGTGTACAACTTAATCTAAATCATACTATATGAATTCAGGTTTATATCTTGTTCTTTGTGGCCTTAACATCTTAAAACATTTTTCAAAATTCATTTTTTAAAACTTTTCTACTCCACATGAATAACGCTATCTTGAATCTCTTTCTGCACAAGCATGCTACGGCACTTCTTTTCATTTTCTTGGAGTAGTAGGAGTCATCTCCTTATAGAGTTCCTCTCTGTTAGCGACTCCATTCAGTGTGCACCGTGGAGAAACTCCAAACATCTTGAAGATGTTTCTGTGGCCAAGGAGAGGATGTTGAGATACACATGACTATGAGAAGCAGCCACAGCTAGTGTAAACTTAGCGAGGAGCTAAATGATTCGCTCATAGGAAAGGAGCTAGTGAGGTTTTGGAAATAAATCTGTGAAGGGAGCAGTCTTCAGAATACTGGTTGGAGCTGGAGAATAGACCAGATATGACCTGGGAAGGTGGTTGGCAAGAAAAGAGAAGAGGAAATATTGGGGTGCTGAGGGGGTACAAGAGTGAAGCCAGAGAGGCAGGAACCAGCCTGCAGGAAGCAGTCTGGTCTGCAGCCCAGAACTGTGGACAGATGAGGTGAGACAGCTTGGATGGAGCCAGGAGTGACAAAGCTGTAGTCATGTGCTGGGCACTTAGATGGAGGCTAAGGATTATTACCATCATTCCACGCACACAGGGGTCTGCTCTGAACAACAATATAGGCCATTTGTACAAAAGACCGAAATGGAATCCAAATAACAGGTTGCACTGCTCCAAGTCTCTCTCTCCCCCTGTAGTTAACATTTTACTACCCAACCGAGTAACTAATGAATCTGGCGGGTGTAAATCCCCAGGCACAAATCTCTGCTTGGGGTCTGTGTCTAGACATCCAGACCAGAGCCCAATTTGCACTTTGAACATCCAGTACCTTATCACTTGTGGGGAATCAGGTTTAATGGGGGAATACAGGGAGGTGTCATTTTACTGGCCCTGCCTTTGGCACCTGGTGGTAGACTGAAGATCCCCTGGATAATGACCATGTTAGGGGACTGGAAGTTCATAGGTAGGTTTGTTATGTGGCTCTGTTATCCAGAAGCACTGACTGGGAGGCCTTTCCTTCTCATTGCAGGCTGTGTTTTGTGAAGCTTAAGCTCCTGATGATAGCCATTGAGTACAAGTCTGCCAACAGAGAGAGCCGGTAAGTTGATATTCATGTTGGAAGTGAGCATCCTGGGAAGGTTGGTCCACCATCCTCTTTCTCGTATATGATTTATTTGCTTGGAATCCAACGCAGCACCTCCCTGACCCTGCAATACGTTTCAAGAAATGGAAGCATCTATCTCAGACCAGCCTGTCATCCCATGTCCCACTGGACATCCAGAGACAATTACCCTGGAGGAGAGGAGAGAGCCATTCTCAGTAGCTCCACCCGCTATGCTATGCCTTGTATACAAGAAAGCAGGAGCAGACTTCCTCTTGAAGCTCCTTTTACTGCTGTAAGCAAAAAGCAGGTGGCCTCTGGCCTTCTTTACAGCAGCCTGCAGTAGAGCTGTGATGGGAGATGCCAGCTCCCTCAATAGCCAAATTGCAAGCATCCTATTGTGTACCATATGTGTTTCTCCCACTGCAGCCGATATCCAGGTGGCAGAATATCAGCTTCATGTAAATTAGCCAGAAGAGAAGTGCTCTGAGGCAGGAGCTCTCGTTATTTATTTATTTTTCCGTTAATGATGTGCAAATCAGACCGATGAGGGACGGGGTCTGGTTGAAACAGATAACACCCCAGTCGATACATGAACTTACTGCTGGTTGTTGGCAGCATTGTATGAACAAGGAATCCAGTCGAGGGGGTCCTACATGCAGTATTGATAACATAGGTGATCTTTGATCTTTGACTTTTAGTCATAGTTTTGGAAGAAAGAGAGCTAGTTGAAAGATAAATAGTTTTTGTTCTCTGAAATGATGTATCCAGGTGCCGTCTGTGCTCTAGAGAGGCCTTTGCTCCTGCATGTTCACAAGGGCAGAGGGCAGTCCACCCCAACACACACCTTCATATCTGAACACAATGCAGGGCAACACTTGCTAGGTTCTGGTAGCATCGTTTAAGGAATTTTCACGATCTTGATGAATGACCACACACACACAAACACATACACACAAGCCTATTCTAAGTGTGTATCTGTGACCAAAACAAAACACTAGATCACAAGCAAGCAGATACTATGTTGTCTCTCTTCCCTTAACTATAAGATCAGATTGATACTATGTTGTCTCTTCCCTTAACTATAAGATCAGATTGTCCATAGTCAATCTGATCAAATGCTGCATTTCCTTTGAAAAATCCAAATCAACCAGACAATGGAAGATAAAATGGTAGATTTGGTGGCCATGTGTAGAACATGGTGGTAACAATTTAAAAAATACATGTATGGAAGAATATGTTTTTCTTTTCCATGTTTGCAAAGGAAATAATATTACAGCATTTTTTGGATTCAAGAGAGGTCCAGCCGCTTGTCTTTCAACAGTTAAAGTAGAATTTTCTGTGGTTACTCTTTGTTCCTCTTTATACCCAGCTTCAATTGGACCCACATATGTGGAGGAGAAACTATGGGTCCTTGGTTTTTTGGTTTTTTTGTTTATTTGAGGGGGTGAGCATCACAAATGGTAATCTTTGTGGTGCCAAGTCAGTACACTATTGTGGATCTGAGCATTTTCTCTATATCACTTTTGTTCATTCCTTTCAAAGTATAAGTCAATAAAAAGAAAGAAACATGTCACCATGTAGGTAGTGCTGATGTCAACAAGTATTTTCTGAGCCTTCTGGAATAATCTATGGCGAGAGTGGACTGCACCAAGTCATGAGCATCAGCCAGTCAGCTCATACATACCTCCCTCTGGTTCTGGTCACAGGAAAAGAGAGGGTGCCGCTAGGATCCAGGCACTGTTCTAAGAAAAACAGATTCCTGGTTCCGTGACAACATGATCTGTCCTCTGATAGGCCCTCTCATTGGGTGGTAAACCTGAGCTGTTTCCAACAAAGCCATGTATAGCAAAATAGATTGTGGGTTTTGTTTTTCTCCCAGTGCCTCAGAAAAGACAAAACAAAACAAAAAAAGAACTTGTTTGGCTTTGTATTGGCTTTCTGTGTGTAGTTGCCAGCATTAATCCTCAATGTGGCTTGGTCTCAGTGTGGAAGCACAGGAGTGCTTGTGGAAAAAGGTGTGCTGGAGGAAATGTGGATCATACCCCCACAAAAACCCAGGACTTACTCAGCAAAACATTTTAAGTCCCAAACCACACTTTTCCTTTATCCTTGTAAGAGACATAATCCTGTTCCTCTCCAATTTTGTAATGGACCACGTATGACAATGTGGAGAGGCCCATCTCTTCCCCATCCTCCTACCTCTGACCTGTGTAAAGGACGTTCTCTGTTGTTGGTTCCACCCATGATACTGTTTTCATGCTTTGCTGATAAACCTTGTTTTCACACACATCTTCAAATGCTTTGAAACAAAGGTTTTATTCCTTCCTTCCTCCTGGTGTCAGTCGATTTATTATCAAATTGTTTGATTTGAAATTCTTTTCTTGTCGTTTTGCAGAAGCCGAAAGCGGTATGCATTCTTCGTTAACTTTCCTTCCAACCTCCACCCTCTGTCTTCACTCCTAACCACAGGACTAACCATTTGCCAAGAACTCAAGAAGAGAGAGATTATATATGTGTATATATATAATCTCCTTCCCTTGTCTAGTATATATATAGTATATCTATACATATACATACATATATATACATATATATACATATATATATATATATATATATATATATATATATATATATATCACCTGTCTCCAACTAGAATACATCAAAGTAGCCTGCTGTTGTCGTTGTTTGATTTGTTGATTATTATTTTTGGTTGATGCACTAACTTCTTTGCAGGAAAATAAAAATAAACAAACAAACAAACAAACAAGTAAATAAATGAAAAGGCAGAGTCCTATCTTCAATCATAGTACCAACGATGGGAACAAATCATATTAAAGTTAAAAAGGAGGACACTTCTCTCCAGCCCTCTGTGTCTGTTATCTGTATTGTCCTGATGTTGTCCTGGTGTCCATCAGATATAGACGGCATTTTGTCTTCATCGCACATCTACATTCCCAGTAACCTCTCTGTCTCTCTGTCGAGTTTTCACTTTGTAGATCAGAGTTTCTGTCCTTTATCCACAAAAGAGACCAAGCCCTTGCACCTCTCTCTTCTCATACTCGTTTGGGTTAATTTCATTTTGACTATCTAACCTCTTGAGCAGTGCCAATAATGAGCTGCCCCGCTATTATGTTTATGTTCTACAATAAGCATGTTTGTCAGGACAAACTCATGGCTTTCTTTTTCTCCTTGTGCGTTTGGGCATATTTCTTAATAGGCAGTAGCTAAGCTTCCACCATCTGACTTCATTCTGTTTTGCCGCTGTTTTGTGTTGCATGGAGCATGACTAAATTATCATCGATGGCATTTTTTAAAGTGTTTGGGTTCAGGGGCGATTGGTGTTGTTACATTTCTTTTCAGCATAGTTTTTCAATAATGCAATCTCTAAGACAGTGCTGTTGAAAGTGCAATGCCAACCTGTTCACGTTCTTCTCTGTGGTTGTAGTCACTGTCATGTGTTTATGTTTACACTTGTGTCTGTGTGTGTGTGTGTGTGTATGTGTGTGTGTGTGCTTGTGTGTTTGTATCATCTGGCAGTCTTTCCAATGTCATATCTTCTGTGATTTTATTTTAGTAGATGTGAATAGAGGTGGCTTCCTGTCAGTTTGGTATTATTGACATGATCCAACTGCGAGAAGTTATTGCAACACTATGCATCTTCAAAGGTCCACAGTGGTTGCACCTCTGCTGTTGGCTTTTGGCCTTGGGTCCTTTTACTTTGTGGTGAAGGCATGTTGTGATGTAGGCATGACTTGTCTTAAAGAAAGTATGGCTTGCTCCCAGAACCACATATCCAGTGTTATCCTTCCTAGATCAGCTCTCTCTATTCTTTCTCATGTAGCTAGTCTTTTCTGTAATATAAAACATACACTGAAATTTAAGATGATTGATGTAGACTCTGGCTAAACCAGATCTTGCCATTATTGTTGTGGATCACAGTGATGGCCATTTGAGTTTGGCCAACTGGGAGCAATCTTGATTATGGTGTCTCTGTATGTAAATGGACTAGGCCTATGCATATTGAAGCATGGAATACACAAACTGTGTCTTCTACACATATTCTAATGGAAACGCATGTCTAGTTGTGTGGGACTCCAACAGCACTTATTGTAAAGCCCAGAAGAAATGGAAAATTCCAGAGAGGTGATAAGGTTTGAGATTTGTTTTTTTCCCCCCTAAGATATGTTATAATACAGCATAAGCTGCATTGCAGCTGAACTTCCAGAGAGGGGACACAAATTGGTCCAAATGAAGTTCCTGCCGACTATAATTGTATGTGCCCATGAGTGATCAGAGAGATCTCTTCCCAGTGGTGTGATTCATCTGGACATAGCATGAACTATACTCCTCAGTGGCTTGGACTTGCTTACTCTGTTTAATGAAGTCCTATTAGCTTGCTAGAAACAACTAGGATTACAGTGTTTTCAAGTATAAACTATACCCTCACAGAAGTTGTAATATTTTCTTAATTGCTTGGGGAATGGTACACGATGCCTTGAGAGGGTGGGAGGTTGAGGCATAGACATACCTGCACATATACACACACACACACACACTCACACACACACACACATCTATTATATTTATCCATGGTGGATCAAAGTCTCCTTTAAGGTATCTGTTTTAGTTGAATTACTGATCATTGGCCATCTCCTCAAATAGTAAATAAAGTTTAGGAAGATTCAAAGAAGGGTACAGAAATACTCTACAGCTGTTGCACCTTAAATATCAGAGAGAGGAAAATAAGATTTCTCCCTACCCTAGTCCTGATTTTCCAAACTGCCCCAAATTCAAGCATGAGATGGCCAATGAAATAGATTGCAAAGTAGTATCTCCCTTAGGGCCCTGTTACAGATATTTGCTGTTGAGTAGAACCCATTCCATGTGGATGTATCCTGCAATCAGAAACATAGGTTTCAGTTCTAAGTGAGTTGTGCTTTCAATACTGAAACCAATTGCTCCAGCTGCCTAAGTGATTCACTGTTTACATATTTGCATATTTGCATATTTATACTTCATACCTGTGGGAACTCGTTATCTTGGTGACCAATCCACAAGAACTTGTGGTCACTCCTTTGATCAGCCTGACTGATGAGAAGTGCAGTTTGGGTTTTTGAAAGAACAAAGTTGCTGCTTTCATTTACTTGAGAGAAAAAGAGAACCTTTGAGAACAACAGCCAACATCTGTGATACATGTTTTGCATTTGTTCTATAGCTCTGTAACGTACCTATAGTATGTTGGACTCTAAACTTTACTATGAGAAATTCAAAAGTAAATAGAGGGTCCTGTTTCTCAGACTTCCAATCAACAGTGGTTCCTTATACCCTATAGAAAGTGTATGTTTTTCTCTTAAGGAGGGTATTTAGACAAAAACTCAGCCTTGGCTGTAGAACTAGAAAAAGCAACAAGCAAAAACTCTTGGAGAAGGGACCATACAATCCCTGTGTGGCCAGCTGTCACTAGGCATTTTCAATTAAAATCAGCAAGGTCATGGTAAAAAAGAGAATAATTTATATCTTCCTCAAAATGAGGAAATGTCTTCTCCTGCCAAGATGTCCTTGTTGGAATTTTGCTAATGGCTATATGGGAAAGGAAGCCCCTTGATAGGAGCTTGCTCTTAGAGATTGCCTTGATTTTCTATGAGACACATCTCGAGTTTTATCTCTGATAAGCTCATGACTTAGACCAAATTAGAGCCAGAGAACTGATTGAAAGTGATGTTTGGGGAGGAAGACTTTTGGCAGACCCTAAGAACAAAACAAATTTGACATTGAATAGTCTTTTTCAAAGATTAGAGGTATTTGGAAAGATTTTAGCATATTCCCAGTAGGAGGTCAATTGCAAACTTTAAGTCCTTTCATTGGGAGAAGAAAAAGTTATTATTGCCTAGAATTATCTATTTATATTTGTAAGAAGGAGGCGGGGCTAGCATTTTATTTAAATGTTTTAGATTTTGAATGTAGATAACAGTTATGACATCTGAAATGCTAGAACCAGGCATGTATTTCTCAAAAGAGTCTCTGAACCCACACAGAAATGTCCTGTGTTGTGGATCCCAGGAATCAGAGGCCTACTCCTCACCACCCTTAGAACTGAATCTAGCCTATCTGGCATGAAGTTTCTTGTGATCATGGGCTTCTTTCGTTTAACTCAGGCGCTGGCCTCATTCTTTTGAATCTTTCCACTCCCCAAGCCTGTCTCAACCTAATCTATACACCTGCCTCATACTTCATATGGATGTAACTTTAATTTTCTCAGCCTATCCACAGGGAACATGAGGGAATTCTGGGATCACAAGAGCTCTGGAGACAATGAGTCATCTATCTATTACAAATCACTATAAAACTCAAGGAATAGGAGTGATTCTATGTGCAACACAAAGTGAATCTACAGTAGCCCATTTCCTGGTGTTGCATAGAGGCCACATGTTCACAAGAGTTCAACTAGTATCTAAGACAAAATGGCGAGAAGGCTGGTAAAGCTGTGACAGCTTGTTTACTCTCACGTTTTTAACCACTGGCTGATATTTATAGAAACCAAAGATTAAAGGTATAATGTATTCTTAACACATAGAACATATGCCTTTATTCTCTTAAAATCTTTGTCAATCAGGGGTTATATACTGTATTTTCTGGATTAGGAGAGTGAGGCTTAGCTGACTCCAAATGACCAGAGCCAGGACACAGTGGTTTCTGGATGATGTACACACTTAAGTACTTCATTAACATTGCTACAGAACCTGAGACTTGAATGCCAGGGTGACCTCCAGCACCAAGCAAGTCCTCTCCAGTGTATGGACTCAATTAAAAGGCACTTGAAGACCATAGAAAATTCATTCCCTTGACATGCATTCTCTAGAATGCCAATCCCTGGATGTTACTATAGACCAATTCTTGCTCAGTGCACATAAACAACAGAGGAAATTAAAAAAGCCTCTCTTGATGGGGACCCTGAGATCACTGCATCTCAATGGCACTGTGGGCTGCCTCGAAGGGGTACAGATACTGGAACACAAAGCGTGAGGGAAGGAAACAGAGGTCTTCGGCCATACATGTCACCAATACAATGTGTGTCACACTTTATCTTTCAGATTCTGTTGTTCAAATCATTTAAGACTCCACCTACCTACCCACCCAAAACCTGGGAACCCTTACGTTAATTCGTATAAAAATGGAGACTTCCTCAACTTTTAAGAATATACTTTCAAGGTTCCGGAAGTATATTGGATTTTTTAAAAAATAGATGAACTCATGCATTATTCTTTCATGTATAGTTTTTTTTTAAACCCTATAACTTCATCTCACATGGTATTTTTTTTTAAGAGAAACACAATGTTCCAGTTCATTGAGCCAGGAGACCTCTGATGAAATACAATATAGTTGGGCACTTTTGAAAGAATAAAATGAAAACAATAACCATAAATGAAAAGTATTGGGCCATTTAACATTGCCCTACTTAGTTATGTGACCAAACATTGTTGTTAGTGTTACCACCCCTCTTGTCGGGAAAAGTCCCCAACTGGGTGCTAGAATATGGACCCCTCTTCTGGTTACAGGTGCAGTCACACAGGAATTGCCTTTGAGGAACGTGGGATGAAAATGTACATCTAAAATGCCTTATTTAGTTGATTTGGAAAGGAAATCAATATAAACCGTATAGTCTCCATACATTTTGAGGAACACAAATACTAAGTTGTATATGTATTTATCAGTAAAAAAAAATCTATATAATCTCTAACCCCTTCTCAAGATTGTGCTAAATCAGAGTGCTTGTGATATTAAGAGTTGGGGGTTGGCAGAGGCATAATTCATTATAAAGTCTTTTTATAAAACCTCTGCCTTTTGCAGTGTGTCATTAGTATAGACTGCTGGGCCATTAGAGTGGGCTTATGTTTTCTGATTCAGAAGGAATCTCATTGCTGCTGGGGATTCTAGGGTAGAGCAGTGAACTCTTCACACTCTGCTATTATTTAGTGTTAAGAGCAGCAATGACAGAAGCCCTGTTTCCTGCTGTTGGGCCTTGTTACAGGTAATGGTGGATGCTCCTGCAACCATGAACAGTGATTTCTGCAGTAATGACCTGATCACAGTTCTCCCAACAGAACATTCATTTTCCTGGGTCCTCCCTGTTTTGTTGCAGGTAGTGGACTCCTTTGACAACAGTGTTTGTTTTTTTTTTTTTTTCTAGAATGGTCTTACCACTAGATCACATGTTAATTACTACCCTTCATTTTGCTTTGGGTAGTTAGGGAATCCTTTAGCTTGAGCCCAAATATCTCTTACCTTAATCACCAGCTTTTCAGATCAAAGAATATTGCCATTGTTTTTCGCTTCAAGTTGCTAAATTGAACATCTGTCTGCTCAAAGCATGCATAAGACTGTCTAATATTCTACTTATGATCTACAGGAATTTGTTGGCTACTCTTATTTGTTAGGTTAGGAATCATTTATCTTTACTGCCATCCCAAACATAACTTGCTCAGCTAATATATTTCTAGCACTAGGAGGGCAGTGTATATTTTAATTCATACCCCCCCACCCCCGCCTGCAAGACAAGGTAGATGTTCTCTCTCTCGCTCTCGCTCTCTTTCTCTCTCACTTTCTTTTTTAAAGCGATAGTTTTTATTTGTCTTTAAAACACAGGGTGACCAAATGAAAGAATGCCACCTTTGTATCTTATTCACAGAACCCATACACTCCTGTCAAAGGCAGACTGGAGTCATTGAGGATATTCAACAGACGATAGCTTTCTTTATAGTTGTGCATAGATCAGGTTCTTCATGCAGTCTACTTTGATGCCCTTATCAGGGTTCCAAAAGATGTACAGTTTTCTTCTACATTAAATATAATATAGGTGTCTTGTACCATTCCCCATGGAAATACGTGGTTTGTATATATGTATGTTTCTGTATCCATCTAGGGGTCCCATCAACGCTATATCAACTAAGGGAAAATGGGTGTGTGTAGAACTTCATTAGGCTGACAGTGTTTTAACACTGATCATCAAAATCAGTTTCAGAATGGCATGCATCTTGAGGAACTGCGCTTCCAGTCAGGTGCATCTGGGGGTAGCTAAACAGCTCTGTTAAGCAAACCCAGACCCTAAGTCCCAGATCTGCTTTGATTTTCCTGACTTGGAGTGTATCACCTGGAGCTAAATGATGCCATGACTGAACTAGATGTGTGGGCCAGTAAAGATCAGTCTCTAAGAAAAAAAACTAGGGGAGAGTGGCTAACATTATACTAGTGGGGCCCCTATCAAAACAGCAGGATGGTGTTATCATCAAGATTTTATCCTGAACATGAGCTCATACTTATATCTTTTTGTTTGTTTCTGTTCACTGAGCAGAATATTAATTAACCCTGGGAACCACCTTAAGATCCAAGAAGGTACTTTAGGATTTTTCATCGCAAGTGATGCCAAAGAAGTTAAAAGGTAAGAGTTTATTTTCATCTGCCTTTCTTACTGGTCCAGCCAGGCACCTTGATGTACCAATACCCTCATGCTCCCACATGCCCACGGGTCTACCTTCAGAGATATTGCAGCTTCTTCCTCGAGCACCTCTTCTCACAGCCAATATCTGTCTTTAAATTGGAACACTAAGGTTTAGAATCAGAAAACCTAGTTATCTGCCCTCCTGTCTTACAAGGAAGGAAACTAAAGCCCATAGAATGGAAGTGACTTCTGGTCATTCTGATTCTGAAGAGGATTCATGAGACATCTGGCCTCTTGTCTGAGGTTATTTTTTTAATATCGTCTGGGTAAAATATCCCTGAGTATTATAAATTTTCTCCTTTAAGTGCCAAGTAGAATTTCAAACAGTTTGGATTGATTTCTAAGGACTATTTAATTCCCCCTCCCCGTTTGTGTTTGCAACTTTCTAAGCAATGGCTAAAATTGTCAGTCTTAATCATGAAGCATCTATGTGTTCAATGTGAGGCTAGCACCAGGCTCAATGTTTTATGAAAATTTTATTGGTGTCTTTATTCTCTTTTAAGTAGCTTAGGGAACAATAGGGCTTTGCATATCAGTATGGACTATCATTATATGTGATTCTATTTCATCCACTTTGAAATGTTCACTTTCAGAGACAAGTAAGCCAGACAGGTTACTCTGTCAAACAATTGTGTGATATATTTTAAGTAAATATTGACGATGATGGTCTTCATTTCTCTGTGGAGGCCTGCTATCTTCTAGTGCATTTCTGTTCACAGCCAGACCTCTGCTAGGTGTGCTTAATTCTATATACTAACCCTCAAAAATAACCCTGGAATAGAAGTTACTCTTATAAAGTGCTCAGAACTTTGTCTTTCTCATATATAAAAAGTCAACCTGCCCTTTTGAGAGCCTACTATGCATCATTGCCAATACCCCATTATGAGAACATACTATCCATCATTACTGCTTTGGGTACAAATGGGTTTCTTTATGTTTATGTTCTTATCCAGTTGCCTGTAGCCTTACAAGTTTCTTTTTTTTAATTAATTTATTTTTATTTTATGTGAATTAGTGTTTTTCCTACACGTGTGTCTATGTAAGGGGGTTGGATCCCCTGGAGCACAGACAGTTGTGAGCTTCTACATAGGTGTTGAGAATTGAACCCAGGTTCTGTGGAAGAACAGCCAGTGTTCCTAACTGCTAATCCATCTCTCCAGCCCTACAAGATTCTTCTTTATCTAGGAGGGAACTAAAGCATGGCTTGGTTTACCAGCTTCTGCCAAGTAATGGTGTTAGCAAGAAATAAGGAAATGTATTTGCAAACTCTTGCTATGCCAGTATAGAACAATGATATTTGACAAAGCTAGGCTTAGAATTTCTTTCTTCCTATTCAACTGTAGTAAAAGGGTCCATACTAGTTTAAAAAGCTTCTAGGGAAAAGAGTACATGGGGTTGAGGGCTTTTTTTTTTTTTCATCTGAGCTCTCTAATAAATTTACTTCTGCAAATTGAAGGATGGTTGACATTGTTAGAGATGAGAGAAACACATCTCTATCCACTTCATGGGCAGACTATCCTGAAACAGGAGTTCATCAGAACTATCCTAGATGAAAGTTCAGGTGAGAAAGGAAAATGGGGTGTCTGGGTGAGGCCCACCCCCAGGGACTCTGCAACAGTTATGTCCTTGCCCAGATAAGGGACACAGAATCCTGAAGCAGCATCTCTGCTCTAAGCATGGTAAGCTGGGAGCACAGCTGACCATACATTATGCACACCTCCCAAACAGCAAACTCAACCTGAGCTCCCATTTGTGTAATTCTATTTCCTATTGCATCTCTCGCTAATGAATGTCACAAAGACCAGGCAGTCCAGGAAACAAATTACCTTCTATATTAGGGAATGTAATATGTCTCGTTTCCGTGCTTTATGGTGTTCACAAATACATGCTGACACCATCAGCTACAACTCCAGCCTGTAATTTTCCATGGTGTGTGATGTGTTAGAGCAAATGTTGTCAGTTAGGGAATTTCAAATAGATGAAGAGTAAAGAAAAGTACAGAAAGGATATTGGAAATTTGAATAAAACTAAACAAGTTTTATTGTTTTTTAAAAAGAGAAGTAGATTATGATGATTTCTTATTGGGTCCTAACCCTCTGTTATGGCTGCAAAAACAAAATAAGACAACAGCAACAACAACAAAGTGCAAGTGCACACACGTGTGCACACACACATACACGAGAAGTTAGTGTAATCTGAGTCATAAAAACTTTGAGGTACAAGATTTAGAGGAAAAGGAGTGAATCCATCTAATCCCATAAAGAGGTTACTCTGAGATGAATATTTGGTCATATGTTTTTAATTCACTGTTCCTAAATACTTCTCTTTTTAAATAACTTTGAAACACATTCCAGTGTCTCTCTTACCTTCTTTAGCAGATTCATATTTTGTTCAATTCATAATTTAAAATGATAGATTAGTTGTCAAATTAAAAGAAATTGTCTGTTTTTATATTAACATTTCTATTTCTGGTTTCTTCTGAAAACATGATATACCCCAATCTGGGAATTATTCTCAAATTCACTCACTCACTCACTCACTCACTCACTCATTCATTCATTCACTTATTCATTCATTCATTTATCAAATATCTACATATTAATTAATGTTTTGGAGGCTCCAGAAAGATCTATCTGCTGTCCTGAAGAGTACATTCTATAGAGGAGAGAATTTCAGGGTTTTAGGAAATTCAAAAGAAAAGGGCGGATTTTCATTGGGCATCACTGAAGGTTGCTCTTCCAAGGCAGTAGCATCTGAACAGAAATGGAAGTGAAGGGGGTGGGGCAGATGGGAAAGGGAGATAGTGGTAAGATGCTCATTGTCTTTAGATGACAGGAAACACCATGGCCAGGAAAGGACCAGAGGATGGGAGTGGTAAGAGATCAAAAGGGGAGGCTACATCTGGTTCTTTGGACACTTACAAAGAGAATGGCCTTGTTATGGAATGAACCTTATTGATGCTTTGAATGTAACTGTGATATGATCAGAACTATATTCTCAAAGATTGGTCTACCTGCCTGCAATGTGGAGGAGAGGAGCCAAGATTTTCAGAGTCTGTCATATAGTATAGAGATTTGCTGGCATCTTGTGGAGGTAGAGTCATGTGATTCCATTTGGATTAGTCTGGGGAACCTGTAGTATGTACTCAAGAACATTGTAGAAGTGAAGGGGAAGTAGGAATCACAGCTGAAGCCTAGACTGGGGGCATGAACCATGAGAGCAGCAATGATGATGATCTCTCTGGCTGAGATGGGAAAAATTAGAGGAAGATGGAGGTGGTAGGAAATGAGGAATTCTATCTGGGCCACAATAAATGGAAGGTTAGTCCTAAATATACCATGGAGTCATCATAAAGGCAGGTACATCTTGAGGGTCTGAAGTTCAGGAGAAAAGACAGCTGGAGATATCAATATGGGGCCACATCAGTAGGGGTTCCTGGCAAGGAACAGATGACCCACTTAAGTGGAAAACAAGAGCAAAGGGGGTCATATGAACTCATGGACAGCAAGATGCTTAAAATTAGTGAGAGACACCTAAGCATCTCACAGGCAGCTGCAGCGGAGAGCAGCTTTCAGCATGGAACTAGAGGGAGAAGGGGATGACGGCTTGTTAGAAGCTAGGGGGTCAGAGGAGGGCATGGTGTAGGAGTAGTGACTGCTCAGTAGGAGCTTTGCCCTCCAATGGAGATATACTTCTTCTGCTTGCTATTTCACAACCTGTTAGAGAGCAAACTTATCCTTTCCCACCTCTAGTTGTCTTCTGACTCTTACCAAGCACAGCAGAACATAGGACAAGGAGACCCTAAGGCCAGCCTAGCAGGATGTGGTGAGGATCTTTCTGTTGGTGTGTGAGCTGGGGATGAAGAGGATAAGAGTTGTTTTGGAGTGAGAAGATGGGCAGCAGAGAGCAGAAAACACCAGGAGTGGGGAAAGGTTCCTGGAATCAATAGGCATGAATTTCAACTGGGATCTGTGGGATTGTGTTTCCAGGATCACTGAGTTTATAAGGACAAGTGTGTAGCTCTACTGGAAGGGCATTGCCAAGAGAATATGGTGAGGGAGCTCCCAAAGAATGGCCACTTGACAAAAATCAACTTGAGATTTAAAGAATCTTCCTCTTTAATCTGGAGAATTCATCGACACCTTTAGGTCATTACTCATCTCCCTCATTAGCCTCGTATGTGTGATTCAAGCAGCTATTTGGCTAAGTGAAAGAAGCCAGGCAGAGAAAGATCAACACTACACAATCTCACTTTACATGTGAAACCTTAAAAAGACAAGTCCATAGAAGCACAGGGTAAACTGATCAGTTCCAAAAAGCTGAGGCAGGGATACCTTGGGGAATAAGGGTCAAGGGACAGAAAACATTAATTTAAGCAAGAAGATAAATGTGAGAGTTCATTGCAGAACACCGTGACCATAGTTGGTTTAAAATAGGTTATTTTTGCATTTAGTTATTTATTTGTGTTGAATAGATGTGAGAATTTGCTCACCTTGAAGGAAGGTGAGAGGACAGTACTTCTCCTTCTGCCACATGGGACCCAGGGATCAAACTCAAGTTGTCAGATTTAGCATCAACTGCTGTTTCCTGCTGAGTCACCTCACTGGCCCATAGGTTGTTGTTGTTGGTTTTAAGACAATATATTGCATTCATGAAAATTGCTTTTAGCAATTTCTCTTTTCAGGTAGATTTTAAAGGTTCTCACCTCACATACAAAGTAACAAGCAGATAAGAGACCATATGTCGGCTTGCTTGATTCAGCCACTCTATAACAGAATTCAAAACGGCACATTGTACATCTCAAATATACATAGTTGTGTCAGTTAAAAGTAAAATGTTTAATATAAAGAATTGGGCTTTAGTTCCTTCAGGCTCATCTCTCCATTTCTTCAGAGGAAGACATTCAAGATTTTTGGCTCCTGGACTTGAATCCAGATTCTGCCATTTAACAGTGTGACCTTGAACAGGCCATTTAATCTCTCCCTGTCTCAGTTTTCTTATCTGTAAAATTGAAGTAATAATGAAGCCTCTTTCAAAGGGTTGTTTGAAGATCAAATATGTTAATGCTTTTGAAATGCTGAGAGCAGCACCAAGCCTAGAGTCCATACGCTCTAAGTGTTAGCTGTTATTACTGCTTCATTGTCATCACTCATGAAAGCATCTAATGGGAAGGAGATGGCCAGAGGATGTAGGTGTGAACTTACTTGCACCAAGTAAGAGGACACCTCTTCTTGTTCCTCCTATCTCAAGGCATTGATTTGCTAACCACAGTGCCTTGTAGAGCCAACAGCTGCCTTTTCTGATTTTGCGAAGAGGATGCCATCTGACATTGAAAGGAATGGTGAAGGAGCCTCTTGAATCAAAAGAGCTTTGGACTTGCTGTGGAAATGCAAACACTGTGGAAAACATAAAAGAACCTAGAATTGTGTTTATTTCTTTAGCCTCCATCGAGAAATGGCCCTGTTTATTCCTGGCACTCAATTTCATGTTGGGAGTGGTAAAGGCGTTAAGCCCAGGATTTTGTTAGTTCCTGGATCCGGAGGGCTGGAAGGTTGTTCCAGTAAATTTTATTACCTCCCTGGTACAGATGCTTCTCTACTTATGATGGGTTTACATCCCAATAAACCATCATAATTTGAAAAGAGCTTATGCCAAAAATGCATGTAACCTACTGAACATCACACCTTATCCCAGACTGGCTAATGTGTTCAAGGGCTTCACATTAGCCTATAATTGGGCAGAACCGACTAACACAAAACATGGTTAATATATTTCCAGAGCAATGAGTATCTCCTGTCACCTATTGACTCCTGTGGTGAAAGCTAACAACAGAGTGGTTGTATGGTGATTCTTCTGCACCATCTCAAGTTGGAAGGGTTCAACCCACCCACCAAGTCCCCAGGTTATTCCTCTGGATATTGTTGCTGAGCAATGCTCAGATCATCTTAGTTCTTCTCATCCAAAGTGTCTTTGGCACAGCAAAGTTCACTTTAGAGTCTCAGATTGATACTTAAAGTCAGATGAGGGGACATGGTTGTTATTGTTGAATGCTTCTTCTTGGGGCCCATTCAAGCCAACCATTCCTCTCCCATTCCAGTGATCAGCTGAGTCTTACACCAGAAAGAGAACAATACTTTTATCTATTATATATGCTCAGAATAAGACATAATGGGAATGGATCTAGCCAGCTTTGGAATGAAACAGGCTTTGAATCTCAAGAAAGAGTTGACAGGAACCACTGCACTCATTGTTTCTATAGTCCCTCCTCCCTCCATTGACTCTCAAACCTTTCTTACCTTAGCTAATAAGAAACGGTGCTTTCTAAGTGACAAAGGTAATATTTATGTTTGACTGAGGTTCATCGTCCTGGCACTCCTTTAATATATTTTCAACTAGACTGTTGGGATTTCAGGATTGTTTTTAAAGTACACTCCAAAGATTCAGGGAAGATTGACCATGTGTTTCAAGGACGAGTACTCAGTGCTGTTCTCAGAAACAACAGTCACAGACCCAGAATGTGACTCCAGCAGGACCTTTCTCCCCGTTCCTTTGCAAATAAAAGTTTATAAAAAGAAGCACCAACTCCAATCACAGAATCCTGGGTTTGAAATGAATGGTCTTACAACAAACATTTCCGTCTTCAAATGTCTAAACTTTTCAAAAGATGAAAGGAAATTAGGGCTGGCATGTTTCATTAATTTGGCACCACCTCGGGGGAAACATGGTACTCATTTTACTTGGGTGGATTATGAGATGTGTCAGTTTTTCCATTCTCTTTCTCCAGGGCATTTTTTTACTGCAAGGCCTGTCATGATGACGTCACAGATCCCAAAAGAATTAAAAAATGCGGCTGCAGGCGGCGTAAGTAGTGTTTCTTTCTCCCTCCCCCTCCCTCCCTGCCTGTTCCCCTTCACCAACCCTCAATTCCTTTTTCCTTCTCCTTTTCCTATCAGAGGGACATTAAACACCAAGTGCTTTCTTGAATGTGTTTATATATTTCACCCAGCAGTTTACAGAAACATGAAACAAATACCTGTCCTTACTTCAAGTAGAATATTGAAAGAAAAAAAAATCACAGTCAGTGCCTGATTGGGAACCTAATACCCACTGTCCACCTCTCTAGAAGTAGACATCTATGGCCCATACAGTTAAGCATCATGGGTAAAATGGAGGATTCTTACAACTGTGGAGGAGGGGATTTTTTTAATACCATGATTTGTAGTAGCTAGAAGGTCCCTAAGTATACACTATATATAATTCTGGTGGGAAAGTGAGTGTCAAAACCTAGTCTAATCTCAAAATCAAAGCACTGGACTGCCTTTCAGTTAGAATTCTTGTAGGTTCAGATTTAGATCACCCTAAACACAAAACTAGTGTTCCCAATAAAGCAATCAGTCACCAATGTCCTAAAGGCCATCCTTTATGTCTTTAACTACAACATGCCCCTAGATAAGGCACATTCCTTTATGGGGTGAACTCCTCTGGGTTCATAAGCTTCTAGCATGTCCTGTCTCAGTTGTCTTCTACCAAAGCTTTCCTAGGGACCCTCAGTAGTGACTCAGGAACACTGGCTTATAACTTCCACAGACACCACGCTGTTAAGCCGGTCTTTGCTTTGGGGAGGGCCAACCTTTTGCAGCAATTAGAACACACGCCCTGGAAGAGATTGTTCTGAACCCTAGAGAAAAATGAATGAAGTGATACCTTCCCTTGGATGATGACTTGAGGTTCTAAAAGCTCCTTGTGTTGGTTGCTTTGGTTCTCACCATAACACTACATAATTAGCGTGGGTACATTTAATCAAGTTGGAGAAATAATGACCCTTCCATATTTAGTGAGATGCTGAAATTGCTAATAGCTATGCAGCCAGCATTCATAGATTCAACTCCCTCAAGGCCTATCTTGGTGCTGTGTTCTGAGGGCCCTGATCTTTCTGACAACGAAAAGGATAACCTTGAGTTAAATGAGTGGGAAGAGAGTTATGAATGATCGCCCCCCCCCATAAAATACATTTTATAAAGCAGAAATTAGTCAAAAGGCCACCATTTCTGGGGTATGCCACCCAAGGATCTTGTCACTGGGCTGCCTGAGGGGAACATGTTAAACCAGTAAGATGTAAAGATGGTATTCCCCAAGCATTAATAAGTTGGTTTTTAGGGAAATACCAATGGGCAGTACTTGGTCCAGTGAAGTTTTTGTAGAAATCCTTTCAGATTCCCTTCCACACACTAGCTGAGGTCAACTTCTTAACATATAGTTTGCTTCCCCCAAGCCCTGTCACCAGTCCTAGAACAACCCACAAGGAAAAGCATGTGAATATGAAGAAAGGACATGGTCAGGTCAACCACTAGGCTTCAGGCATCACTCAGCCTTCTTACCATGTGTCTGAGAATGTAGAAACCCAGCAGGCATCCTCAGAGTCATCTCTGTCAAAAAGAACAAGGCATCCTGAGAATAGATGTAAACAAGGGAACCAGAGCAAGATGGTGAGCTCTGTAAGGAGACTCACAGTGGTGATGAGTGAAAAATGGCTAGGGACATGCTGAGGTCATTAATCCATGCAAGGGTGTTTTTTAAGCAACCTCATCCTTTGTGAATCTTAGTGAAGTGGCGAGACTATGCGCTAGTAATTGAGCAGCCATTCAATGTACTTGCGAGTATCCTCTTCATGATGCTCTCTTCTTGGTGCCAGTGATGGAATGGTGAATAAAATTCCTCCCAAGCCTTTTATCTAGCAAATATAGACAAACTCATATCATCTTACCAAATATATAAATTCATAGGAGCCACTTGCTTAGAAGAGAGGAGGGGCTGTCTGAGGATATGAGGGCTCTTATAGGTTGGCTACTGCTTCATATCTTGGCAGGTCCTTTGGGAGGTGACAGTGGAAATGAGATGCAGGTGGGGGAAGAGCAAGGGAATTGACACAAAATCAGGAAGTCATTTGTAGTGTTTAGAGGATGGATAGAAACCTGGGGTCTATGGCATTGGGGAGAGAGAGGTACAAAGTGAGATCACACAGGAAGACAGAGAAGGTGCCAAGAAGATGGATTTCAGTCCTATACCTGAGAACTGCCAGGTGATTTGGGGAAAGCAGATGGCATCATCCAGTCTCAGTTTAAGGGATTCCTTTTGAATCTGAATGGAGAAGTCACTCAGGAGGACAGAATGGAAGAGGAAAGATGAGAACAGAACTTATCTCACTCTCTCTGAAATTAGAATGTCCCTTATAGGATACCATGGTACGTTATGGCATACCCCTTTTAAAATACTTACAAAAAGGATTTGACTTCCAGGGCAATTTTTCCATCTTCTTTCCAGGCAAACAAACAGCAGTAAACTTTTAGCTTTATCCTATTGCAAAAAGCACACTACGATTTATAATACTTTTATTCCCTTAACTTCCCTTACAGTAGGTTAAGCTAGAGAAATGTTTGATCTGACATCATACATGAGACACAATTGCTGCAAAAGGATTGTCTCCACCAAGCTACTCTTAAGTGTGGCAAGGCCATGGGCTGTGTGATTAATATTTAATACTAATAAAGATTGTCCAAATGTTGTTATTTCCAATTAGAAAATCATAGCCTGGAGGGCAAGATGCAGACTTGTATGGGAGGATTAGACTAAAATGAATAATTGAATATAAACCTCTCCATGAAGGCCAGGCACTCAAGAAATTGAAGATATGTTTGGCTGTAAAAAAAAAAAAACTTTTATAAAAAATAGTTATCATTGTCAATGTATATAAGAGGCTGCTAAGGCACCATCCAGGCATGTCTTGGTGTTCAAAACTGGAAAGGACAGTTAACTCACCCAGGTATTTATCCAAACCTCTTAGTGCAGCATCATGGAATGATACAACTGCACATGAACAAAACTACTGATAGTCTCCAGACTCTGTATGTTTTCCCAACCTCCTATCCCTACCCAGTTTTCCCTTCCCAATCCCTTCCTACCTGCTCCATTCCTTTTCATTCAATAACCTTCAATGTTTCATGTCCTCTATCGGCAAAGTATGGAGTGTGGACATTCCATTGTGGAGATCCCGTGCTGGTAGTATAGTTTAACTTGCGCATCTCTTTCCGTGTCTTCCTAGCTCTCCATTCATTCAGGAAGCAAGTCCAATCCAGATGTCTAGCCAAGGAGCAAGCTCTCAGATGCTAGCATTTATTCATTTTCTTTTTCTGTGTCACAAACCTGGTCTAATGATTTATGTTTTCCCTCCTCCCAGCCTCTGAAATGTTGCCAAGGGTAGACTCCTAAGGGACAAGTCATGTCTAGATTGATGTGTGTGAAAGAATTTCCTTTAATTTCTAATCATTGACATATCTTTGATTTATTTTGTTTCCTCTTTGCTGCCTTGGAATACGGCCCCTACTCTGTTTTAACTGCACCCTGGTAGTGATCTATTGTGAGTAAAATGTGTTCCCAGCAGCCCAGAGTCTAGTTCTCCTGGTCTTTTCTCTAGATGAGATACCTTTTTTTTTTCTGTACAGTTTTAGTTTTGTTTTATTTTTGGTATTCGTGTTGCATGTAGCAGTTACATCATGCCCCAACTCGCTCATGCCCTACACAGTCCTTGTAGAGTAGACAGGAGCTGGAGAGTGCCCAGAGCCCACTCTCTATGCTTCCACCCATCCCCCAGCCTCCAGCAAGCTCTGGGCACGGTCTTATTTTTCCAGTCAAAAATAAGACCCTGACAACAGTGTGCATCTCTTGAAGGCCTTTGCTCAGGACTTTTAAGGGACACTGATTAGGCTAGAGTAATTACCACTCTAGCTGTGGATGCTTTGTCCATTGGGGGTCATGGTCATGCTTGCCTCTGATAAACGATACTTGTTTTTCCCTGCTACAGAGCTTGAATTCCTCTCTTGAAGGAAACACATAGGCTACATATATATTCCTGAGTTGTGATATATATATGATATGCCCCTGGGTAGCTTATATGTAAAAATGTGTATTTTTATATATAATCATAGAGATATTCCATAGAGAGAGAAATCACAGTATATATGCCTCTCTGTACAAGAAAGTGCTTGCTGGAGATTTAATTGAATATTCCTTTGGGACTGTAAGTATCTGCCTTCCTGGAGACAAGTGGTAATTATTTCCTACAGTCTATGGCCTTTCCTTGCTTTAAAAAGTTCTCCTTTCATCAACACTCAGTGATTCCTCCACAGTTCTTCTGTGAAAGTTAGGCATCCTGGAGGAGCCATGTGCTTATTTCAGGGGGAAATCACCTGTTAAATAATTCAAGGAGATTACTCCTTTTTCATGAATGAGCCATGTAGGAATCTAAACAAGCTTCTAGACTTCTCTAACTTACTCAAGGCATAAGATCCCTGTCATCCAACCGAATAGAGTTTTTAAGGCCAGTATTTCTATGTGTAACCTACAGCTATAGTGTTCTCATAGGCACCAGCCATCAACTTTGGGTCTTGGCTTACAGACATAAGACTCTTTGGAAACAGGAGACCCAGTCTACAACCCATTGAGTTCACTGGCTCTGGACTATGGAGATGTATCAGCACCCAGGCTTCTCATATTCCTTTGCAGAAGAAGAAGCAAGTTGACCACCCAAGTTCCAGTAGCCTTCACTGTTTGGAAAATGTATAATGTTCTGGGTAAAGCCAAAACAAGATAGCAGCCTTCTTGAAAGTATGTGGAAGCATCACTTCTAAAACCCCAGAGCTTTCATACTCTAGTACTCTTTGAAAACTAGAGGACTACACAAAGCCAATCAACACACAGCTCCAGAGGCAGTCTCTCTCAGCTTCCCCAGCCACAGTGTGACTGTGGTGAGCCAGATCAACTAGCTGTATGCATACTCCAGGTGGCTGACTTTAAGCTCTGTCCTT